AGTTCCTGCTCCCACGGACACGCTGCAGTGGATGCTCCCTGTCTGGCTCTCTTCACACAAGACTTTCAATTCCAGAAAAAGAAACCACTCACACGAAGGCCTTTGTGTAGGTAGCAGACTTTACTGAAGATTTGGGGAGACAAAGGGGGGTTACATAGCAAAAATACAAAAACTTGAAGTTGAATATTAGACATCCATGAGCTTAAAAATAAAAAGACCTTTAGCCATTCCCACCAACTGGGCTCCAGACTTCTACAAAGGTGCTGGGCCACCTCTCCCGTCCTCCCTCAGGAAGTAAACCAATCCCAATTCCAGACAGTCTCTTACTCACACTGCCGTAGCCCACCATTTGTTCCGTTCTCCCTTTTGAGACCCTTCCCTGGGGCCTCTTTCCCCTCATGGGCCACAAAGTTATTTTCTCAGTTAAGAACACTTCCTTCCCCCCCCACCCCACCCCCGTTTCTGAGACCTGAGGATGAAAGTCTAAGTGCTGTCTCTGCTGGACAGTTCCCACAAGAGTAAGAGCGTGGGGCCTCCTCATGGGCTCTGGGAGACAGCAGAGCTTGGGGTGTGTGTGTATGTGTGTGAGTGTGTGTGTGTGTGTGTGTGTGTGTGTGTGTGTGTGTGTCTGAGTGTGAGCATGCGTGTGCATAAGTGTCTCTGTGTGTGTGTGTGTGTGTGTGTGTGTGTGTGTGTGTGTGTGTGTGTGTGAGAGGCGTAGAAAGAGCAGAGTCAGGGCAGGTTTTAATAGCCCTAAGTTACCACCATTCACTGAGTGCTCACCGTGAGCTCAGGCTGTCACCTTTCTCCCAAAAGTCAAAGCCACTTTATTCCCATTTCCCAAGCGGGGTTCTGAAGGTCTGAGGGGGTGAGCTATTTGCACAAGATCGCATAACTTAGCAGCAGCCAATTCGGCTTCTTAAGAACGACTCCTATACCACTTGAAGTCTTTGGGGGAAAGCTTCTTGCTTTCATTTCTGGAGCTGACATACCAGATAAAGTAAGCAGGGGTCGGACACAGCAATCACTGGCTACACCCGACCCCGAGGTAAAACACACTGCTGCTCTATCTCACACCCCCCTCTGTGCGGTTGGGCCCAGGTGAGCACTGCTGACCCCACAGAGCCCTGCACCAGGCCGAGCGCCACAGGCCATCAGGAGCTCCCTGCTGCCCCAGCCCTGCTTCTCTGAGCTGCCTGCCTCCTCCCTCCAGCCCGGTCAGCACCTGCCCACTGTCCTCCGAAACCTGTGGCGGGGGAGAGGAAGTAGGTGATGGACTAAGCACACACAGTCTGAGGGGCCCGAGCCATGGCCGCCCCTCGATCCTCACTCCACTGGCTTTAGTCCTGAAAGGGCAGAGATGGTATCTACACACACATGCACAGGTGCATGCACACGCACCCTAAAGTCCTTCTGTGTGGGGTGCTCACCCCACTCCATGGACGTTCACTGGTGGCCACTGAGGCAGTCTGCTCAGTCACTGTCAGACAAGCGGTCTGTTTCCACATCCCCATCTCAACCACGCCCCCCTGCTAACTCTAGACGTGTCAGCAGGGCAAATGGCTCCACCCTCACGGGCTCAGGGCCCTTACTCACCTCCCGGGCCCAAACCGCACGGATCATACTGCCTCGTCCACATGCACTCCTTCATCCACATGCGCTCCTTCAGCGCATGTTTACTGAGCACCTGCCACGTTCCAGACGTGGTGTTTAGTTTACAGAAAGTAACAGACCAAGGAAGCTACAGTCTGCACCCACAGACGCTGAGTCTAGGAGGAAAGACAGACTCAGGAGCAGACAATTACACATGCTTCTCTGTGGGCCCCAGCAGCCCCAGCGTCCATTTCTAAAAAAAAATCAAAGATTAAAGATCAAAAAGACTTACTCCCTTGCTTCAAACGCTTCCAGGACCTCCCTTCACATGGAGTAAAACCCAAAGTCCTTGCCAAGCAAGGGGGTGCTGGGCTGGGGAGGGAGCTGAGTTCCTTGCCCTCCCCACTCGCCCCCGGGTCTGGACAGCTGGCCCGAGGCAGGACCTGCTCCGTCGCCCCCGTACCTTAGGCCATACAGCTCTCACTCTCTGTGCCTGCCCCACACCCATACCTCCCTGCCTCTCCTCAGAATGCCTTCCCCCACCTTCCCCGGGCCTGTGAGTTTCCCCCAGTGACTCTCACATCAGCAGCCCTCTCTGCCTTGAAAGCACTTGTCACAGTCTACACGTCCTGTTACTTGCTCACTTAGTTTTCTTCCTCAATGAAACATAAGGTCCCCGAGGACCTCATCTGTCTGGGTCAGTGATATCTTCCCAGCGCCTGGCACAGAGCAGAAGTTAAGTAAATAGTTGCTAACTGAATGAATAAACACATTAATACTCTAAGCACGTTAATTCTCTTCTCTGTGCCCCATTTTCTGCATCTTTCCAATGGGGACAGCACAGCACCCACTGGCTGAGGATTGGAAGAGGTGACAGAGGTCCCTATGTCCTGGGTTACGAATGGAAGGCTTCTGCCACCCAAGGGCAGGCGTGACTAACCCCTCCGCATGAGAAGGGGTGACCGCACACTGGCCCTCGAAGCATGAGTAACAGTTCTCCAGCAGGAGAAAAAGGCAGGGCACGAATGGCCAAGAGAACATGTGGGGCCAAGGCCTAAAGGCAGGGAAGGGCACCCAGTTCAGAGGGTGCAGGGCAGTGCCAGACAAGCCCTCGAGAGCGGTGGGCCAGGTGGCCATGGGGGAAGGCATCTACACCTGCATTCCCCATGGCTGACTGGTCTAGAACTTACAGCTCTAAGTACATGACTTTCCACGAGGCTACTGAGGTCAGCTCCTGACGAGAAGGGAAAACGCACAGCTCACATCTGGCCCCGACATCTGCTCTGACTCATTCCCACCCGTAACGCAAAAGATCATCTCCTTAACTTGTGCATGTGTGCCATGGCCAAGAGGCTGCTCACACATCCTTCATGAGTACCTGCCTGAAGGCTCACTGTCAAGCCAGAAAGGTAGGCATCATTCCCCTTATCCAAACAGCCCAAGGGGAGAGGCAAGGAGCGAGGGCGAGGGTTGTGACAGTGACCGGAGAGGGGCGGGGGAGCCTTACACAAACCCGCCCATGGACATGTGAGCACATGCCGTCTGCTCAGGGCCTCCCAGACCCCACGCCCACCTCCACAGCATGTCTTTTGATGAGAGCCAGCCCCCACATACAGTGGAGTTAGGCAACTTGGCACGAGGTCTAGCAGCAGTCCAGAGGCATTTGGTTAAAGTTGCTTTTTGATGAGAAGAGGCAGTCTTGGCCCGTGAGGGCAGGATACCGGATAGCTGGCTTCTTTTTCCCATCTGGAATGCTGGCCAGCCTTTGTCCCATCTGCTTATCTAAACACTGCCCATCCTCTAAGGGGCAGCCCCTCTCCATTGCAACCTCCTCCCTGGATCTTCCACACCCTGCTCTCTCCCATCTCTGAACTCCAGTTTCTGTGAGGATCAGCCAACCCCACTTAGGAGTTCTCTGATCTGACTTTTTAGACTGCAAGCTCCTGCTATTAATAATAATGTATATTTATCGAACACATTTATGTGCTCAGCACTATTCTAGGCACTCTACATATACGAGGTAGGTACTCTTATTATACCCATTTTACAGATGGGGAAACTGAGGCACAGTGAAATTAAGTAACTTGCCCCAAGGCCACAAAGCTAGTCAGTGGCCAAGTGCCAGGATTTCAATCCTAGCTGTCTGCCTCAAGCCCTTGATCCTAACCACCATTCCATAAACACCTCCTAGATGCTGTCTTACTTTTCTATTCCCATATATCTCCCTGAGTGCTGGGCACAAAGTAAACACCTGTAGGTTGAATCTTCGTTCCCTTCTGCTCCAGGCTTCTGGAATTGTGGTTCCCATTAAGGGTGATATGAGGGCCACTAGATGGCAGCAAAGAGCCAGACCCAGGCCTCCCTGAGGGAGGGGAGGATAAACTAATTATAACATTTATTTAGTGCATCTTGCACCAGGCACTTAAAGACATTAGCTCTCTTTCTCACTACGTCCTTCTAAGGTAGGTGCTATTGCTCTCCCCTTTACGCAGAGCAAAGGACACCAAGGCTCAGACTGGTGGAGAAATTTGCCCAAGGTCAGACAGCCAGGAATACCAGGACTGAAGCCAGGACCACCAAAACCCTAAGCCCATACAGTTCTCCCAAGAGATAAACCAAGGAACCCTTCACTGCTTCCCTCAAGGCTCAGGGTGGGTTCCACACCCCTCCTCCATGCACAGGGCACACAGACACTACTACTCTGGGGGGGTGGGGGGAGTGGACAGCCGGGGCTGGCTCCAAGGCAGTCACCACCTAGCAGGCACCCTGGCTGGGAGGGAGCCCGAGGGAGGACTCACAGAACATCAGAACTGGGTGGTCTCAGAGACCACTGGTCCACTACAGGCCTCTGACCCACTTTCTGGGCCTTCACCCCCACAAAGGATGCTGCATGACACCAGCCTTACCACCTAAACTCCACAGGCTGGACTCCGCACCGCCACTCCTGGCCTCCCTACCTCAAGCTCCAGGCCATGCAATCCACTCCCACAGGGGAGGGATGAAAACTATCTAGAGAGTTCTGGCTGTGTGCCCTTCCAGCCTTTCTAATAACTATCACCTCCACACCTCAAACCCAAGCCCTGGGCTGGACCGAACCTCCCTGTTCACTGTCCTGGGGCCAGGGCACCAGAGGTGGACAGGACACTGTGCACAAGTCCCTGCAGGGGCCTACGTGGGGATGCACAGAACAGGGCCCGAGAGCCTAGCCCCCGAGCCCAGCCCCCGGCCTCCCGGAGTGGCCAGCAGCTTGAGGGGCAGCCGAGAAGTCATCCCATAGGGAGCTTTGCATCTGGCGACATTCCTGGGTGAGTCCATGGGGGATCTCTGGGGCTGCTTCTGGCCTGCTCCCCAGTCTGCCCCCCTTCTCCCGCAGTCCCTCCCAAGGCTCAGACAGCCAGATCAGGTCCTCCGAAAATACACACCATCTTGGGTTTATTTGGGGTTGGGCATTGCAGGTTCAGTTTGTTCCTGGCTAGGAAGTTAGGACCTCTCGGCTCTCCTGGCAATTCAGGCCCCTGCAGATCCCCTCCCCGTGTCCCTGCACACACAAAGTCTCTTCCCCCCTCCCTGCTCCCTGAGTCTCTTATTCTTTCACCAGCCGGTAGATATGGTGCTGAGCCCCGTGCTCGCTGGCTGACACCTCAAAAACATATGCAATGCACAGCAGCGTCTCCTGCGTGTCTCTGTTGGTGACCACCTGCAGGGGACGAAAAAGATGGGAGTTAAAGCCCCAAACAAGGGCACGCCATTTGCTCGACCCACCGATCCCATCCCACCGCACACCTGCAGCGCACCTGTCCCTAGCACACACACACACCTGCAGGATGGTGAAGTTCTCCAGCACGCTGTTCATCATGTACTTCTCGGGCAGGTGCTTCAGCTTGTGGATGAAATTGATCATGTACTCGCAGAGCGGCGATCGATGAATGCGGTATGAGTAGTGGCCGTTCTCATAGCGGGCATACTCTGTCTGCAGGACCCAGGGGGCAGCGGGGGCTTAGAATTTCTCTTGACCACTTCCAGCCCTGGCCCAACTCTCTGGGGAAGCTCCATGACCCACTCACTGTCCACCTCCTCCGTCAGTGACAGGGAGACCAGGTCGAGGAAGGGGGAGCTCAAGAACATAAGCGCACTGGCACTAGGCAAGATAGGACAGAGCGGTGCCGCAGTCCTGGCTGCACGCAGACACACGCTAACAGGCACAGTGAGTGCATCTGAACCACACCACTGGGCTGCATCGATGTCCATCTCCCGGGTGCCAGTATGAAACTTTAGCTATGCACGATGTGGCTGGGTGCAGGGTACACAGGGTGACAACTGCACTGCATGTGAAGCCGTAATTATCTCAAAATAAACATTTAATTAAAAATAATTCAAAAAGCATTTTATAAACTACTATTGCTGCAGAGCGGGTTTCAGGCACTGGTGGGTTTCCACAGTCCCCAGATGACCGCAGGGGTCGCGGGGGCTGAGAAGCCCGGGGATGGGCACAGTCTCTTCCCTGGTACCAGCCTGGCATCTGGTTGTGTTGGACAGGAGGTGGTTACCAAGAACTGCCAGATGTATGAGGGGAAGAGCTGGCTCAGACAAATCCGGGGAAAGAGGTGGCGACAAGGATGAAGGGCACACTGAGGCACAGAAGGGCCTGGCCTAACAAACACACGGGGGGCGGGGGGGGGCTCCTACCTCCACTTTCTCTACCACCTGCTTGCCGAAAGAGCAGACCTTGGTGGAACAAGTGATTATCATGTTCTCCGGACTCTCGTACTGACTGGAGACCCCGTAGAAGGAGCTGCCTTCATCCTCGATGTTGGTGTTGAGGTCTGCCTGGAGAAAGACACAGGGAAGACAAGCAGTGGACAAGTGAGTCAACAGGGGGCTTGCTGGGGGTGGAGTGGAGGAGAACCCTGGGGCCACTCCAGGTTCCAGGGCCAGGAAGACATCAGGAGGGCCTAAAAAGAACTGGGAGAGTAGGATCTTGGAAAGCTTCCATGCTTCTCCACACCCAGGCCGGGCATAATGTCAGGGTGTGGTGTCTCAACAATCAAAAAAGAGAACGTTGTCACCTGCATTAGTTGCAGGCCTCTGCTACCCATTTAGGCACCAACACGCCCAGCAGGTGCGGCCCCCAACTTTGTCTTTGGGATTCAAGTTTTATAGTCTAAGGCTTTGCTCTTATTAAACTGCAAACATCTGAATCTATATCAGTCATTTCTATTTTAGTATGAATTTGTCAGATCCTTTCCAGAGTCAATTTTGATGGTGCAGTGAGCGTGGGAACAGAAAGCCAGAATGGGAGACGGGCGCAGGGGAGAGTAGGAGGGGGTGCTGAGACTCCTGTGTGTCTCATCCTCCAGTCCAGCTGGTCACTGGACCCTGCCAGGGCTCTTTTGGAAATGGCTCTGGGGGCTGGCCTCTCACCCATCTCTACGGCATTACTGAGTCCAGCCACCCTTGACCTTTTGACATCTCTGTTTCAGCTTCCAGACGAATCCCCCCCAATGCCAGTCTCCTTCCCTTTGGTTCATTCTCTAACTTCTCTGAGAGTTCTCTTCCAAAAACAAGTCTGACTGCATCCCTCCATGGTTAAAACGCTCTCACTGAGCCCCCTGCCGTAAGAGAACATGATGCTCACTCCCCAGCCTGGCTTGGGAGCCCCTGGTCCTCTAGATCAGCTTCTTGCTGTTCCCCAACACACATCTTTTCTTCCTCTGCTGACAGCAGAGCCTAAAGTGCCTCCCACTGGATGTTGCATTGATTTGAAATTTTCCTCTCAGAAAAGGTGGGGTAAGACTCCCGATTTCAGGGGCGCCTGGGTGGCTCAGTCGTTAAGCGTCTGCCTTCGGCTCAGGTCATGATCCCAGGGTCCTGGGATCGAGCCCCACATCAGGCTCCCTGCTCAGCGGGAAGCCTGCTTCTCCCCCTCACACTCCCCCTGCTTGTGTTCCCTCTCTCGCCGTTTCTCTCTCTGTCAAATAAACAAATAGATAAAATCTTAAAAAAAAAAAAAAAAAAGACTCCCGATTTCACACACATCCCCCACAAGAGGGAAAGAGCAGGATCTCGGCTTCAGTTTGATCAGTGAGGCTCCCTGACCACAGGTCCAGCCCAACCCCACACAGCGGACAAGTGATGGACCCTAGGTGTTCAGACTCCCACTCCAGCACTTAACTGAATCCAGCAGAGTTACAGGAGAGAGAGGGAGACACTGGACAAGACAATTCAGTGCCTTGGCAGCTCTGAGGCTGCCATTTAGGTGTCCCCATCCCCAGAACTTAGGCCCCACATTGATTCACCCCATCTGAGCCAGGGGTGCTAACAGAGCAACTTAGCACTCAGAACAAATGCACAGATTTAAAAAGGCCTAGTCTGAGGGTGCGGCCTCTCGTCCCACCTACACAACTAGCCTGGAATCCCTGCCAGGCTGGACCCGCAGTGCAGCAGCCCTATGAGGCAGCAGAAGCTCTAGATGCAGCTAAAGAATCTGACACCAAGGACTCCTCTGCACAAAAATAAGGGGCTCCTCAGAACCCTGGAAGGTTCCGGCACCATTCAGAGCCGGGCACCGGGCAGTTCTATTACTGGCCATTAGGGGATGCTCAGTCATTATGTTTCTCTCCTTTGCGGAAAGAAGTTTTCCCAAGAGCAAGAACATTCTCTGGACTGGTGGGGGCTGTTAAATGTCTTACAGCACAACAGAAATATTATGGAGCCACAAAAAATGTTGAGAAGGACCTGTGTTTACTATTGTGAATTGACTACTACAACAACTGTTATGTGGCGGGGGGGGGGGGGTTAGGGAACACAATGAGGATGTTACTTTCATGATGAAGAAAAGACAAGAGGCTGTTTTCATGTTGACTAGAATGGCACAGGTTTCGTGCACTCTGCGATGGTTTTAACGAGGCCACCCGGAAGACAGGAAACCAAGGAATTACAGCTACATTCAAGTCAGGGCTCAGCCTCCGAAAACAAGCAGCAGTGTTGTAAACACACCGCATCCCAGCCCCGGCTGGCCTCCGCCCCCACCCTGGGGTGGGGACGGAGCTGGGCAAGCAGTGGGTGCCCCTGAGTCCCGGCCGGGGTGTACCAGGCCTCGCTGGGCTGGGAATGAAGGGCAGCTGGGAGTGGCACAAGGCCTTACAGTCAAGTATAAGGGACCAAAATCCAGCTCTCCGTCTTTTTCCCCTGCTAAGTCACATGCTCCTCCTAGGAGACCAAGTTTGCCAGACTTCTTTAAAAAGGAACAGTTTGCTCAAAGTATGCTGCAGCTAGAAGCACGGGGCAGAAGCGTGAAAATAAGCTGGCAGGAAGCCGGCTGCCTGGGAAGGGCAGGCACCTGAACACAGGGTGGGGGTGGGGGGGGGGTGCTGGCCGAGCAGCAAGGCCCGGGCATAAAATGATGGCTCTCAAATGACAGCCGCTGCCGGGGTCCTGTTGAGTAAGGGCGCACCTGCATAGCCCCTACCACAGGCCCTACTATGCGCCTACTGCTTTCTCTTAAATCCACTCTTTTCCTTAAGCCCATGCTAAGCAAGGTTATCCATGAAATCAGTCAGGGATTCTATTTTTTCTGTGATAATAACTGCAAAACTATTAAAGAAGATATTTGTTTGTATGCCACCTAAAAGAACGCTGCGCACCAGGGTCAGGCAGGACTGGCCCAATTCCTCCCGGGTTCTTCCCAGCGCACAAAGGTCACAGCTGCCTAGCACCCCACAGCGCCCTGGACATGCCATGCCCTTCATCACCTTGTGCTGCCAGAATCCGTTCAGACGGCCTTGGCCCCTTCCAGATGGCAAGCACCCTGCCAGAAAGGACTAAGCTCTCCCAGGGCTCGGGCCATGCCTAGGGTGAGGTGGGCCGGTCTCGAAGGCTGCCTGCTGTTCAACCTCTCAGCTTTGGGTGGCGCTGGGTGAGAAGAGAGGTGAGCCCCGCATCACCACACAAACAGGTCTTGGTCCTAGCCTCCCACTCACCTGGCCCTTCCATCCCTCAGTCACCCACTTATCCTGCCCCAGCCCAGCACGGTCAAGGGGAGTGGGGCCCAAAGAGGCTGAGACATCGTCTCTGCCGTCAAGGAATTCCTAACTGGTGGGACAGCAAGTAGCATAAACGCGATGGTGTTTGAGTGGTGGAGAGAGAGGAGCACAGAGATAAGGAGGCAGTGGGAGAAAGATAAACCTCCCGCAAATGACCATCCAAAGTTGGCCCCAGGGCCGGCCCAGTGGCTGCACGGCACCAAGCCAGGAGATGCAGCTGGCGACACACACAGCCCCGCCCAGCACCTCATCTCGTCCTCAGTGCCCCATCCTCCTACTACCCCACCCCTCACCCGCAGCCACACTTCACACACTTCCCGTCCACCCCGGCACCCCTCACCCTAACGCGCTTGGCTTCTCTTTCTCAGCCGAAGAGGAAGGCTGCCCGCCCCCCGCCCTCCTGCCCTCCGAATGCCCCCACGCTCTCCTCCCTCCACCCTATTCATAGCGGTGGTGCGGGTGGGCAGCCCAGGCAGGGCCTGGAACAGGTGTGGGGGATCGGGTGACTGACAGATGAGCCGAGACAGCCGCAGCCCTGGAGTGGGGGCCGGAGGGGCTCAGATTCATTGTCAGGTGCTGGTATGTGCCTGGGAGAAATGTCAGGGCCCAAAGGGAGCAGCTGGGATGGGGGCTCGTCTGAGGTACCCTCCTCCCTCCAAAGCCTCAGCTCACCTCTGCCCAGCATTTTCAATTTGCAGACTGGTGTTAACAATCCTGTGTCCAAGAGCCCCCTCTCCCCTTCCCCGAGGACAGAGGTGGCCCCAGCTGGTCCCACATGTTGTGGAGAAGGAGGGAGAGACTTCAGCTTCTCAGTCCCCCCTCCAGACCCCGCATGTCGCATCCAACAGAGCACAGCCGCACAACTCAACCCTTCGGGCACCCCGAAGCCAGCCCCAGGGGAAATGATTTGTCCAGGCAGCCAGAAGCCTAAGAACTACAACCACAATCCCATCAAAGAACAGCAACTTTCACTGGGGATGGGCTAGTAGGCTGGGTTGGGGACATCAAATCTCTCCTCCCACTCCATGAGGGCCCTGGTCAATGCCCCAGCGCGCACGCTCAAGGCCTGGGCTAGGAAAGAAGGGAAGGCTTCGGGGGAGGCGGCTTTGTTTCCATGTCTGAGCAGCTTTCCTTTCTAACGGTGTGCGGCGAGCCTCACAACAGCTGATGGCAGGGGAAGGAGTGGCCAGGCCAGGGCGGAGAAGAGGGTTCCAGATGGCTGGGAACACCAGAGCTGGCTGTGAGGACCCCATGGCTGACCAAAAGGCTCATGCTTAGCAAACAGGAGCATTTCTTTTCTCCCCCATCACAGATTTGTACTTCCCTAGAGCCTCTGCCCTCCCCACACAGGAGGGACCAGATGACTGCCAAGGAGCCCTGGGCGCCGACATGCCCCCATCTCTGATTTCATGTGTCCTCTCCCTGACCAAGTGTCTGGTCTTCAGAGAGGGCTTGGCTCTAGGGGCTCAAGCAAGGGGCAGGGGCACCTCAGAGTCCTCAGAGACACAGCCTCCTGCAGGTCCTCAAGAACAAAACTGCTGATGGTTCAGACAGAGAAACGGGCCCAGAGAAGCGGAGATGCGCTCAGGCCACAGCTCTCGAGCGGTAGAGCAGAGACGAGAGAGCCTCTACGTCCCAGCTGGAGCCCACCGCTGCCCCCCTGCTCTCCCAGGACACACCAGGAGGGCCCCACCTGTAGCCCACCATGCTCTCCTATATCTGTATACCTGTTATTGCCCCAGGACCCTGAGATCTGCTCCAGATCCTCCCACTTGGAATGTGAGC